AATGGCCGCTGCAGCTTCATTACGTTCTAAAAGAGTATGATCCAAACTCCATGAATCAATGCTTGTCAGAAGCCAAAGGATGATGTGACGGATGTGGCTGAGGCTAAGGTGTGCAGTAGGATTTGTCATAGCTTCATGTAAGCACTCCGAGGAGGTCTCCACAATAATATTCGCGAAATGTAGGTTGTACAAACATTCCACTGTCCAGAAGAGAGCCCACAAGTCAGCCTCGGTTTTGGTGCGCATATATGGGTAGGCCCGGCGACTATGCATGATTGTGATTCCTTTTTCATCGCGAAGAATCCATGATGCACCACTCGGCTGATTTTCGTTTACCCAAGAGGATCCTACATTACATTTTAAGAATCCAGCGGGGGGTTTCATCCATCGAATATTTTCTATGACCATATCATCCACTTGTTCCATCGATCCAGCAAATGTATCGTGCCATGAGAGTTCTTCTTCATATGCCCTCTTAGCAATATAAGTAGACTCTAATACCTGACTCTTAAAAATAAATGAGTTCCTCGCCTTCCATATTTCCCATAACAACCATGGAAAAACCTTTTTTATATGGATATCCAAAGAATCGCTCTTAGCAATCTTAAGTAAATGAACAAAGTTTAAAAAAGTCGAATTCCTAGAGAAACCTCCTAATGGAACTGGGACATTAGCTTGATCCCATACGCCACGTGCTTTAACACATGTGAATAAGACATGACAGATAGTCTCCACCTCATTTCCACAAACTGGGCATGTTGGGTATATTGGAATACCCCGAGTATTCAAACGTTGCTTCACAGCTAAAGCACCTGATAGTGCCCGCCACATAAAATGTTTAATTTTTGGTGGAGCTTTTGTTTTCCATAACTCCCGCCAAAATTTTTTTTCCATAGGGGAGAGCGATTGCCCTTGAGGGTGATCATATTCCACCAAAGCCTCTAATAATTTATACCCACTTCGCGTCGTATAAGAACCATTTGGTGTGAAACCCCATTTAAAAGAGTCCGCACATAACATTGATGGTTTCAGAAGTAATATCCGTTGCACATCCTCAGGAGTAAAAGTCTGCTGTAACAAACTTATATCCCATTGGTTAGACCGTTGTCGTAACAGATCCGAAACTTTAAGAGCTAAATTTATCGAACTGTTTTCGCGATACATTGGTGGCCGTGGAATAGTGTCAATAATCCAGTTCTCAGCCCAGACATTCGTGTCAGAACCAGTACCAATATGTCGATATAAACCTTGTTTAAGTAATTCTCTTCCGTGCATGATGCTCCTCCATGCATAAGACGGTCGTGTCCCCATTCCACATTCCAAAAAATCACCATTTTTAAAATATTTACCTTTAAGTATTCGAGCAACCAAAGAATCTGGGTTATTTCATATTCGCCAAGCTTGTTTCCCCAGCAAAGCCTGATTAAAACGACCAATATCCTGAAACCCAAGACCACCCTGTTCTTTTGGTTTACATAGTTTTTCCCAAGAAACCCAAGGTATTTTTCTTTTTTTATCCCCACTGCTCCACCAGAACTCTATTATCACACTCATAATTTTTTCGCACAGACCTTTTGGTAACCTAAAGACCGACATTGCATATATCGGTAGTGCCAAAGCAACTGATTTTATTAGAACTTCCTTGGCACCCATTGACAAAATTTTAGAGTACCATCCATGTAGCCTGCCTTCTAATGTTTCTTTGATAAAATTAAGCAGCGCTTTTTTGAGCCTTGAAAACATTCAGGGAGACCAAGATATGACCCCTCACCACCTTCTTTTTGTATACCTAAAACCTCTTTGATCGTCCGTTTACGAGCATTATCTATTTTTTTCCAAAAATAATGGAGGATTTCAAGGGGTTAATCATTTGCCCAGAAGCATCTCCATAACATTTTAGACCTTTCATAATTTCTTCACTGTCACTTACAAAAGCTTCACATAGCAATAAGCTATCGTCTGCAAACAACAAATGATGGACAGAAGGACTCCCCGTAGCTAGCTTTATACCATGCAATTGCCCTTGTGCTTCCGATCTATTTAGTACATGAACTAGAGCTTCGGCACATAAGATGAATAAAAAGGGAGATAACGGATCCCCTTGGCGAATACCTCTTTCTGGTTTAATAAAACCATGGGAGCGTCCGTTAAGTAGTACCGAGAAAGTGACAGTAGTGATGCATGACATTAACCAGACAACCCATTTCCTATGAAATCCCATTTTTTCTAATAATACTTCTAGGAAGTTCCATTCCACCCGATCATAAGCCTTTGACATGTCAGTTTTAATAGCCATACACTCTTTACCAATTTTTTCATTTGTACGAAGCGCATGTACGAGCTCGTGAGCTATAATAATATTGTCCGTTATTAACCTGCCTCCCACGAAAGCCCCTTGAGTTTCTGAAATTAAATGTGGCAAAACTGTCTTCATACGTTCACATAGAATACGAGAAATGATTTTATATTGGACACTGCACAAACTAATTGGATGCATATCCTTCATTTCTGTAGGATTCAAAGTTTTAGGAAGCAAGGATAATTGTGTATGATTCCACCCTGCAGGAATGATGGCAGTTTTAAAAAAACCTTGAACATCCTGAATAATTTTCTGTCCTATAATGTGCCAATATTTCTGATAAAAAAAACCCGTAAGACCATCCTCACCAGGAGCACTACTACTTTTAATACCAAAAGCTGCATCCTTGATTTCCTCAGCGGTTACCTCCCTTACTAATAATGTGTTCATTTCAGAAGTAACCCTACTTTCAAACCAATCGAACAATGTTTCCAGATCCGTTGGATTGGAACTGGTAAATAACTTCCTAAAATATTCTGTAGCAATATGTCCTTTCGATCCTTTCGAATAATGTTCATTACCAAATATATCTTTAAGCATCAAAATTTTATTTCTGATTCTTTTCCCCTTTACCACATTATGAAAATATGTCGTATTTCTATCCCCTTCCCTTAACCATTCCTCCCGACTTTTTTGTCTCCAAAAAATCTCCTCTTCCCGATAAGCCGCAGCCAGTTTTTGTCTTAAACGTCTCATCAAAGCATAGATAGGAAATTGTTTGGAACTTTCTTTATCTAAGTCACTCTGTAACCGGTCAATCCTAGTTTTTGAATTCCACTCATTCGCCTTTTTAAGCTTAGATAATTCCGACCCACAACGAGCGATACGATCAAGAACTGATAAATTTGAGTTTACGTTCTCAGCATCCCATCCGCGGATAATAGCCTCATTAACCCTTTTTTTCCCAAATAAACGTTTATCAAAATAGAATCGACCCCTCTGTAATATTTCCGGTTCATATGCAAACTCTACACGTAAAGGTCTATGATCAGAAGGCCACATAGTCATATATTCAGTAGACGATTGAGGAAAGAACCAGAACCATTCTGCATTACCAAAGGTCCTATCAAGCCGGCATTGTACCCAGTGATGCTCCCGCTTACCAGCCCAAGAAAGAGAATTTCCAGTATACCTCATTTCTCTGATTTTACATGCTTCAGCCATATTACGGAAATCAAAAAAAGTGGTTTCCTCTCTGATAGCTCCACCTAATTTTTCCTCATTATTCATTAATTCATTAAAATCACCCACCAAGACCCAAGCGTCGTCCCTATTCACACCAATATCTATTAATTTATCCCAAACAAATTGTCTCCTTCCTCGGACTGGATCACCATATATACATGACATAAAAAATACCAACGAACCCATTGTAATTTTAAGATCGATAATTCTATTATCATTATACAGAATTTCCACTAAGTAGCAGCCTTTCCACATTAGGGATAAACCACCACTCCGACTAACAGGTTCAACCGTGTGTAAATGATCATAACCCAAACTTGCTTTTAAAGCATCCATATAACCAAATTTCTGTTTCGTCTCCATGAGAAATAAAAAAATCCAGGAAATATTGACGACGAAAATCCCGAATATGTTGGACTGTATCTGAATTACCAGCCCCTCTGCAATTCCAACTTAGAATACTCATGATAAAAAAAAATTTCCAAAAATATTAAGAGATCCCATATCAATACATTCCAGTACACATCCACCTATTATTTTATATCCACAACAGAATTTATAAACTTTATAAATCTTGTGCGTATATAAATTCGTACCCACTTTATCTTACCTAGAAAATTTATACCAAGAAAATTTATGCCAATACTCATAAAATATATAGAGTATAATCCATAAAGTACTAATAACCATTGGAAATAAAATTTCCATATACACAGTTCTTGTTAACTTATACGTGACCTTTGCAGAATCCCATTTGGCTCCATTTAAACAAAATAACATGCATATATACATTCTGTTAACACTAAGGTAGTGCTTCATCAACGCAATAAGCAATAACCACATCACCTTGCATAATACAAATATACTAACCGATTGAAAACAACTGATACGTACATGAAATATCCACCAGTACCGGCCTTTCTCAAGTAAACTTACATAACTAGCTAAAGCCATAAACATAAGTTCTTGTGCACACCCCATACAAACTTCACCAGTGATTAACCATTTCCTGTAAAGTGTGGAAAACAACCTCATTGACCAACTCTCCAGAGCTAAACCGGAGAAGGTAAATCCATAGTTACCAAAGAACAACCTGCAACACCAAGCTTCATACATAATCTGAATCTCATGGATTGGATACAAGCACAATGGACGACAGGAGTCTACATAAAGTATCACCCAAGACCATGAACCAGGGGAGAAATAAGTAACCAACTTCCAGACGAACCAAGAAGGATCATAATAAAAATGAAAAACTGTTTTATTAATTGAGTAGAACATCCACTCATAGGGCATTACCCTAAAGGCTTGAAACAGCCATAAAGCAAAGCAAGACAAGAAATGGCTCAAAAAAGACCAAAAGAAAACAACTTAGGAAGATGGGATTTCATACACGAATCCAACATTATTTAAATAAAACTGGAAATAAAAAAAAAAACAATCAACCTGGATAACCTTACTGAGGTGGAATCTTAGGCTTACCAGTAACCTTCCTGGAGCCTTTCTCACCTACCTTAGCAGCAGCTTGTGCCAACAACTTCTTGCGTGGTGAAGCAAACACTGAAGCATTTCTTTTCTTAGAAGGGCCTCCTGCATCCACAGTACCATTCTTTGCCTTTAACTTGCCGTCCATGCCGTCCATTCCCTTGCTTGTGTCTCCCAAATTCTTGGCTTCCAAGGTTGTTTTGGAATGATCATTAGCGATCTCCAGGTCTGCAAGAGCTTGGTCATTAGTAACCATATCATTGTCCTCCATGAAATCCGTTTCAGCACCTTGTTCCCAACCTTCCAACTCTCCATCCTCCACAAGAAGCTCTGAATCCGACATCACCTCCCCATCCGCCAACAAGTCAACTCCATTCCTATTTGACTGCGTTTGCACCTCCACAACTTTGTCACTTTCTGGTTCCTCTTCGTGATCTCCATTGAAATTTTCCACTGGAATTATCTCATTCTCGAGATGCTGAGCTTCCACTACCGCCCCTGGTTCCTCCTCCTCAAAGAGTAGAGCTTTACGAGCCTTTGATGAAGTACCACCACCAGCCTCTTTGTCTGTTGGAAACCTTCCCATTGGAGGTGATCCGTCAACTCCTCTGAAAGCATTGAGCATTAGTTTCTCTGGATTTTCCATAGCTTGATGCCCTCCAGTACTGTGAGCTTGTTTCGATCCCCTGGAAAGATTCACAGGCCTTGTATTACCATATTGTGTCGCCTTGTGACCCCTAGAGCCTTTCTCACGATAGGGGTGAAAAGAACCTTCCATTCTAACATCTCCTTGTGGTTCCTTAGCAATCCCTTTTCCTTTATCACCACCTCTATGACCCTGGTACCGGTTTAGTTGACCAACTCTGCGATCACCATTCTGTCTATCACCATGAACAACAGCTGTTTTATAACTAGTAGTCATTGCTCCCTCCATACCAAGTTTAACCCCATTAGAGCTTTCTGGAACATTTTTAATCAACTTCGGACACCTCAACTTATCATGTGTGAGGCAAAAACACTCTTTGCAATATCCAATCAGTTTTTCATACCTTAGATTGACTGTGATCTCCACTCCTTCTATCTCAATCGTGGCTGAAAACACCAGAGGCTTAAACCCATCAATCTCAACGCGCACCCTACCTTCAACGAGATCCGGAGGACCTTTAACCAGTCCCAAAGCTTCTCCCACGGCTTGAAAAATTTGAGGANGCAAAAACACTCTTTGCAATATCCAATCAGTTTTTCATACCTTAGATTGACTGTGATCTCCACTCCTTCTATCTCAATCGTGGCTGAAAACACCAGAGGCTTAAACCCATCAATCTCAACGCGCACCCTACCTTCAACGAGATCCGGAGGACCTTTAACCAGTCCCAAAGCTTCTCCCACGGCTTGAAAAATTTGAGGAGCTCGAAACTGAAGTGGCATGTCCAAGACATGAACCCAAAACATGATGTGTGATGGATAATTCGGCTCCAAAACCGGCTTCCACCTCACCAAAGCTACCATCCATAAGTCAAAGTGAAAAGGCTCCATCTTGAGCACCTCCACAATGTCTTCTTCCCTCTCAAAATTAAACTGGAAACGCCCTAGCCCCAAGTCAATTCCCACCACACGGCCCTCGACACCCCAAAATCTCGGGAACAAGAACAGCAAAGTCTTCGTATCTTGCACCGGAGGATTCATAAATTAGTAAAAGTTAGTCCTCAATTGTTTTAGAGATAATAAATTTACATAAATTTATTTTTATAGTGTACTTTGTTAACTTAAGAGGAGTATTTTTGATGATTTAAAAACTATATATGAGAAGAGGTATTAAAATGACTGTTTATAGGTTTATGAAATCAGGATTAAACTATTTAGAAAAAAAATAATTATGATGTTTACATTTATAAAATAGTTGTAGATGTAAAAAAACCTACATATAACAAACCGCAAAGTATAGATCCTTTAAATTGTGATTGTTATATTACATCTCATATATATTAATTGAGGAACATTATTTAAGTTGTAAAATTGCTGATTATGGTAATGTGTCATTACCAGAGTTCACTTCACAGAAAAAGATAATAAATACACACTTACTAAAGAAACTGGACAGTTTACAAAATACAGTAAAACCTCTATAAATTAATAATATTGAGACTTTAAAATTTTATTAATTTATAGAGATATTAATTTATGAAAGTTTCCTTATTTAGATTTTTTCATTTTTTCCATTTTTATTTATAAAATAAAAATATATTTTATTTTAGCATATGTACATTATTTAAATTTTAGAAATTTGACTTTAATATTGTTTTATTATCTTATTTGCTGTATATTTTTATGTTTCATAGAATTGTTACATGGTTTTCGATATAATTTATATAAATATTATCAAAATACAGTAAAACCTCTATAAATTAATAATATTGGGACTTTGAAATTTTATTAATTTATAGAGATATTAATTTATGAAAGTTTCTTATTTAGATTTTTTAATTTTTTCCATTTTTATTTATAAAATAAAAAAAAAAATTTATTTTAGCATATGTACATTATTTAAATTTTAGAAATTTGACTTTAATATTGTTTTATTATCTTATTTGCTGTATATTTTTATGTTTCATAGAATTGTTACATGGTTTTCGATATAATTTATATAAATATTATCAAAATATATTGAAATGTTTAAAAAATAATAGTATTTTTATAGTAAATATAAAATCCCTAACTAAATATTATCAAAATATATTGAAATGTTTTAAAAAAATAAAACTATTTTTATAGTAAATATAAAACCAACAATATAATGTTAGATTGTACTTATATAAAATTATATATAGCTATATTATTAATCTATGATTTTAATGGGACCATATATTTACATGGCAGTTTTAAAAATATTATTATCTTATTATTTTATCGATTTGTGTCATATTTTACACCGGTCCAAGTTGGGACCGGGGAAATTTATTAATTTATAGAGATTATTAATTTATCGAGTATTAATTTATAGAGGTTATACTGTATATTGAAATGTTTAAAAAAAAGTATTTTTATAGTAAATATAAAATCCCTAACTAAATATTATCGAAATATATTGAAATGTTTAAAAAAATAAAAGTATTTTTATAGTAAATATAAAACCAACAATATAATGTTAGATTGTACTTATATAAAATTATATATAGCTAGATTATTAATTTATGATTTTAATGGGACCATATATTTACATGGCAGTTTTAAAAATATTATTATCTTATTATTTTTTCGATTTGTGTCATATTTTACATCGGCCAAGTTGGGACCGGTGATATTTATTAATTTATAGAGATTATTAATTTATCGAGTATTAATTTATAGAGGTTATACCGTATGCCAATGAACAATTAATATACGACCACCTATATATTGTTTTCAGTTCTCAAATGTGTGAAAACCGGTTCAATCAAGGTTAATTAAACGGACTGGTACACTAAAACTTAATAATTAGTACGCTTCTTCTTTTTATTTTTTTTACGACGAACGGCTGATCTATTACTCAAGTTTGAGGTGGTCTGGGAATCCAAATCGGAGTAGAACAACCAACATACACCAGTTCTCGATAGAAAGATCGAGCAGTCTTAGCTAGGGGATCAAAAAACCCATTTTGTGTCCTAAGAACATAGAAAATCTTAAAATCTGGGAAGCAAATCCGCAACGTCGTGAGGTTTTCCAGTTCCGTTGAGAAGCTTGGCCAATCCTGTGGATTCATGAGCATTGATATCATTTCCTTGCAGTCCGTCCCAAAGCTCTGACACGGCGAATGTTGAAGCATGTTCTCCTTTGCCCACTGCAGTGCTTCCAGCTCAGAGTGCAAAGCAGGCTCCACTCTATCAAAATTACGCATACCCATCAACTGGCTATTCCCCATACTATCATTCAAGACCCAGCCACATCCACTGAATTGAGCTGTAGAGGTCCAAGAGCCATTCACCATACATATATTCCCCAGACTTATGGCATGGCTTCTTCTTATACTTCATCACGGCAGTGCATTCATATTTATATATAAATAATTACATTGTTAGCATCACGTCATCTTTCGTTTTTATCCTTCATCCTTGAGACAAAAATGTAACAATCTAGTTTCGGGCTAAATATTTTTAAGGCAAATGAGTCTGTCTACGGTCCATTAGGGTTAAAAACTTAGGATTCCCTCCTTTTCCTATAAAAAGAGGCTGCCTCCTTCTCTTTTGCCTCATTCACAAAACTGGAAGTGAAGCTCTGCAGAGAATCCTGGAGACACGAAAACCCTAGCCGTCAGATCTTTCACTCTTCCTCGCGCACCTCTCCCTTCTCTCTCTCCACGCAGCTTCTTCTTCCTCTATCTCTCTCCGCGTGAATCTTCTTCCTCTCTCTCCTTGCCGTTCAAGTGGTGGTGGTGGTTGCTGGAGATCATTAGTGGTGGTGGTGTAGCCGTGTGGTGGTGGTGACCAGATCTCATCTCTCTTCTCTCTTGTTCTTAGATCCAGATCTCCAGATCTCATTTTAAAAGATCCCGATCTTCAAACCTCGTTTTCCAGATCCAGATCTCCAGATCTCGGATCTATTGCTAAGTTGAGATGATTCGANGTGGTGGTGGTGGTTGCTGGAGATCATTAGTGGTGGTGGTGTAGCCGTGTGGTGGTGGTGACCAGATCTCATCTCTCTTCTCTCTTGTTCTTAGATCCAGATCTCCAGATCTCATTTTAAAAGATCCCGATCTTCAAACCTCGTTTTCCAGATCCAGATCTCCAGATCTCGGATCTATTGCTAAGTTGAGATGATTCGAATCCAGATCTGTTCTCATAATCCTCTATTCTGGTTGATGTTATAATTACGGTTCGGATAGTCCTTGTTTGGAAGTTAGGTTGATAGATCATAATGGGAGTTAGGTTGATAGATGAATGAACCATGATGCATAAGAACCTTCATACTGTTTAAATGGGACTTAATGGGCTGCCTTATGTTGATGTGGTTAATGATTGATGATGAATGATTGTGTGATTGGTTTGTGTCCCATGTGATGATTGTGAATGAAAGCTAGGTTACTAGAAAGAAGTGAATGTTTAAGATGATAGATATGTCAATTAGTGTCGGTAATTATGAATGATAAATATAAAGTAATCTCCCAGTGGTATCTAAAGTGAAAGATAGATGTATATAAATGAGATGTCATTTGACTTCAATGTTTATGAATGGGAATGCGATGTGTGATGTGTGAGACACCGAAAACAGGTGGCGTCTAGAGTTGAGTATGAGTATAAGTGTAGGCGAATGAGTTAAAGAGAATCAGAAAGAGAACATGAATGAGTATAAGAGTGTGAACGACGATGAGGAAGTGAATGAGAATAATAATGTGAAAGATGATGAGACAGTGAATGAGAATGAGAATATGAATGGTCAATGAACTTGTTTGAAGTCCTGTTTGGACCACCAAGTAAGGGTGGGTGTCTAGAGCCTAGGATGTGTTAACCTGCGGAACAGTAGCCTAACAAGAGGTACCCGCAGGGCCCACGGGACAGTAGCCTAACAAGAGATACCCATGGGTGTGAAGTGAAAGGCCGTCAAAGGACGGTGACCGCCAAGGTGGGGTAAAGGTAGGGATAGGCGCCTTAAGATCGAGTCAATGCCGAGTCATGGAAAAACGTGACTATCTGACCGTGTATGTGACGGGAGCCGCGAGTGGACAGCATCGCACGTGGACCAAGAGGAGTTGCACGTGGGCCAACGAGCTACTCGCGGGTGGTTACTTAGGGGCTGGGGACAGAAGTTCGCGTAAGATCTCTCAGAACTGGCCGATATGCGAGGGGGGACGTCCGTAAGATGACCGTAGTTCCTAGAGGTCTAGGTTCATTGGTGAGTCTAGTTTTCCAGCTAGGATTATTGATTGACCAAGCCCATGTGTAGCAACGCCTGATTCCTTGC